ACTGATATTTGTGTGTTTTTGAATCCTGTGATTTTGCTGATTTTGTTAACTGTTGTAATTTAGGATTTTAAGATGGGGAGAATCTTTCCATGATTAGGAGAGTCACAAGGTAAAAATGAAGACCTTACTTACAGGCCCTGGGCTGCATAGCATGCCTGGAGGCCACACCCTGAGGTCAGAAAATTCAAGGGGCTGGGGACCAGATGGGAGACAGAGGACACCCAAGGGCACGCACCTGATTAGATCTAGGGGTTATCCAACAGCCTTCACTTTTTTTTTTTAATATGTATTTTTTAGTTATACACAGACACAATATCTTTGTTCTATTTTTATGTGGTGCTGAGGATCGAACCCAGTGCCTCACCCGTGCTAGGCGAGCGCTCGACCTCTGAGCCCCAGCCACAGCCCCTCTCCCGGGGCTTTAACCGGCAGGTTCGCAGCTGGCAGTCTGAGTTCTGGAGGCAGCCTGTGAGGACTGCCCAGTCTGCGAGGGCTGAGGGGTCAGCAGGGCCACTCGGGCAGTCCCACAGGGAGGAGGCCTGACACATGAGGAGCTAGAAGGAGGATGGAGAATGACAGCCCTGTTTAGCCTGAGAAAGTCCAACTCATACTCAGAATAGATGCAGAGGCCATGGGAGAAATCAGTTCCACTGTGACATGGGTCTTCTTGTTATTTTCCCCCTGAGGAGTGAACCCCGGGCCACGTGCATGCTAAACCAGCCCTCTACCACTGAGCTCCATCTCCAGGTCTTTCTAGGTTTATCTGGAGACAGGGTCTTGTTGAGTTGCCCAGGGTGGCTGGACTGTGTGACCCTCCTGTCCCAGCCTCCTGAGTAGGTGGGATCACAGGTATGTGTCACTAGCCTGGCTTGTGGATTTTTTTGGAGGGGGCGGTTTGGCTAGGGGGTTTTGGACATTGTCCTAGAATTTCCAGGACTTTTAGCAGTGGACTCACTCGTCTGTGGACTGAGACCTCTGAAACCATGAGCCCCAAGAAACTTTGACTCCTCTAAGTTGTGAGGTATCCCGGTCATGGCTACACAAGGCGGACTAAAGCAGAAATGGCACCAGGAGTGGACCTGTTCCTCCGACTCACCTGATGGTGCGATTCAGAAGCCCTTGGAACTGGTGTGCAGGAGGAATTGTGAAGAGTTTAGAGATGCCGGCTGGAAAAGCCACGGGGTGTTGGAAGCAGAGCTCACCGGGCGCCTGTGGTGGGAGGTGGAGGACAGAATACTGATGGGAATACAGACCACGTTCACTAGGTTGTAGAGGGAAATGAGGACACTCGTGTGGCAAAGACCTGTCTATGTTTTGCCCATGTCCTGAGACTTTGTGTGAGGCTGAATTTAGCAGTGATAGACCAATTAATCTTGCAGAGGAAATTTCAAGACAGCAAAGCATTTGTTCAGTGGCATAGATATTGCTGGTGGTTTTTAGCCAGAATTGGGAGAAGATAGAGCTAAAGGAGTTTAAAACTTGCAGTTTGATCAGTAAAGTGCATGTACAGCTGGGGTCTAGGAAGGTGTTCTTGTTGAAGAGATCGCAGCTCCTAAAGTGATGTTAAGTACATTGCACAAAGACACAGAAAGATGCCTGCTGGCACCTTGGAAATTTCCAAGACCACACACACTCCAGGCTCAAGGAGCGAAGGGAAAATCCTTTTGAGATCATGTGGGCACCCTGCTCACACAGGGGAGCCTAGGAACTTTTTACCATGCTGAGCTGCTCAGGTATTCAGAGGCAGCCGTGATTCCAGGGGCCAGGTCTTGTCTTGCATGAGCTGGTAGCAGGCCTTGGCATCACCGTTGGTGCTGGTTCTGTAGGACTGCCTTAGGATTCCAGAGTTAGGGGATCATGGAGGCTTCCACCGAATTTCAAAGGAAGTCCTGCAGGACAGGCAGAGTGTAGCTGGGTCTGAATACCTAAGAGCTGTCCCTAAGTTCCCACTTAGGGGAACACATGAAGCTGTAAAGGGGAAGCCAAAGCCGGGAGGAAGACCCCAGGAACTAAAAGATGCAATAATGTGGACTGTCTGCTGCAGGCAGACAGCCATGCTCAGAGAGCCCAGGTGCACCGCACCAGGCAAGGCCACGGAGTGAGGCTGCCGAGCCCTAGGGGGAGCACACTGCGCTGCCATGCGTCCCAGATGCTCCACTGGGACGTGTTTGCCTGGCTGTGTTTGGGACTTGCTTTGCCCCCCTTCTTTCTTAGCCCCTATTCTTTCCTTTTGGAACTGGAATGTTCACTCTGTGCCACTGTGTGTTGATACCTGTGACTTGCTTTTGATTCTTACAGGGGCTCACAGGCAAGAGTTTGCCTTGTTTCAGACTTTACACTTGAACTTTATTTTAGTTAGACAGACACAATATCTTTATTCATTTAAAAAATATTTTTCAGTTGTAGGGAGACACAATAACCTTTATTTTTTATGTGGTGCTGAGGATTGAACCCAGGGCCCCAAACATGCTAGACGAACACTCTACCACTGAGCCACAACCTCAGCCCCGTATTTTTTTAATATTTATTATTTTTTTTAAAGAGATTTTTTTTTTTTTTTTACAGAGAGAGAGAGAGAATGAGAATTTTAATATTTATTTTTTTAGTTTTTGGCACACACAACATCTTTGTTTGTATGTGGTGCTCAGGATCGAACCCGGGCCCCACGCATGCCAGGCCAGCTCGCTACCGCTTGAGCCACATCCCCACCCAGCCCCTTAATATTTATTTTTTAGTTGTACACAATACCTTTATTTTCTTTATTTATTTTTATGTGGTGCTGAGAATTGAGCCCGGGCCTCACGTGTGCTAGGTGAGTGCTCCACCGTTGAGCTACAACCCCAGCCCCACAATATCTTTATTTTTATGTGGTGCTGAGGATCGAACCCAATGCCTCACATATGCATGGCAAGCACTGTGCCACTGAGCCCCAGCCCCAGCCTCAGACTTGGACTTTCGGGCAATGCTGGAACTGTCAGGACTATAGGACTCTTGGAGATGGACTTAAGGCAATTTACATGGTGAGATGCTTGTGAGCTCTTGAGGGCTGGGTGGAATGTTAGGGTTTGGATATGAGGCATCTCCCTAAAGCTCCTAATGTAAGGGACTGACGAACAACAGAGGAAGAGACCACCAAGAGACCGGCTCATGCAACAGCAAAAGGGGGTTTATTGAAGATCCAGCGCGCTGGGGCTCCGTGCTCACTCAAGGGAGCGGCCAAGAGCCCCAAGCAGGGGTTAAGCAGTGCTTAAGTACACTTTTTGGGGAGGGCGGGGGCTTTGCATACATCAGAGCAAATCGTCATGAGGCACGGGAAAATCAAACAACAACTCTCAGACATGATTAGCACATTCATTGGCGGGAACAGGTCCGGGGAGAGTGATAGGTCAGTCCTAAGGAGGGGGATACATTTAAACTGATTGGTTTGGGCCCTGAGGTGCCTACGAGCTGAGGTGCACAAGGTCCAGGTTGTTAAGCAACTAAGTGGTCAGGGGGGATTTCGACACATATCTAATGGGCAGTTCTGGGAATTGTCTTAACTGCCACAGGAATTTCAGGTTCTGAGTGCAGTTTAGAAACTTTACAATACCTGGTCCTTTACATTTTAACTTCAGTTTCTTTTATCCTTTCCCTAATGCAGGAATATTCAGAGGTAAAGTGATTTTAAGAGCTGTAATCTCCTCAGTACATCCTAGTTTGACTGGGTCTTAACCGCAGGCAGGTGGGGTGTGGCTGCAGGGGGTGGTCACTGGGGGTGTGCCCTGGAAGGGTCCCTCTTCTCTGCAGCCCCTTCTCTACTCCCTCCTCCACTTCCTGATCCAAGAGCAGAGCAGCTTTCCTCCAGTGGCCCTTCCCCATGATATGCTGCCTCACCTTGGGTCCAGAGCAACGGAGTGGGTGGTACCTAGACTGGCACCTCTGAAACCAGAGCCCCCAATAAACTCTGTCCTTTAGGTTGTTTTGTTGGGTACTTGTGCCTCCGGTACTGGTGGTCTTCTCCGGGGATGGCGCCAGCGGGCGCAGAGCCGCTCCCCCGCTCCCGTCCTCTCCCCGGAACGTGCCCGGATGCTCCTGAGGGCAGCTTTCCAGATCTCCTCAGGGTCTCCCAGTGAACGCCGGCCGCTGCGGCGTCAGAGAGACGCCCGCCCGCCGCCCGGCCCGCGCCCGCAGCGTCACGCGCGGGGCTTTGGGGGAGCCGCCCGCCCCGCCCCCCGGCCTTACGCCCCGCCCCCCGGCCTTACGCCGCGTGCGTCGAGCGCGGAGCTTCTTGGGAGCCGCCCGCCCCGCCCCGTGGAGGGGCGTCGCTCCGCCACGCGCGGGGCCTCCTGGGAGCCGCCCGCCCCGCCCCCTGGCCGGGCGCCGCGTGCGTCACGCGTGGGGCCTCCCGGGAGCCGCCCCGCCCGCAGTCCGGAGCCGCGAACTACAGCTCCCGGCGGGCCTTGCGGCTGACCGGGACCCGAACCGGGGTCGCGGCCGGCGGCCGGTGGGCTGCGAGGCAGCGGGGCGGCCTGGCCCGGCGCTGCGCAGCAGCCGAGGGGCGGGCGCCGCCGCGCGCGCTGGGACAGCCGGCCAACACTGGCCGTCAGCCTCGCCGCTGCCCCGCTCCCCCGCTCCCCGGGGCCGAGCGGGCGCGCGGAAACTCCGGGCAAGTGAGGGCCCGGGGCGGGTGCCCGGGCGGCCTCACGGAGCCGGGATGGTGGCAGGGAGCGGGCCCGGTGGCCGGGCGGGTGGCCCGGCCGGTGTGGACAGCGTGGGCGGCGGGCCTCGCGTCCCTACCCCAGGGCGGCTGCTCCTGCGAGTGCGCGTCCGCAGTCTGGGCCGGCACGCAGCGCGGGGCGCCGACGTCCGCAGGCTCTGGACGCCCCTGGACGCCCGGCTGCCGCAGCGGGTCCCGGCCGCCGGTCCCCAGTGACCCTTCCGGGTGGGCGGGTGGGCGGCAGCACCGGGTCCGCGGCCGGCTGGCAGGCAGTAACTGCATGTCTCGGCTCGTCTGGCCGCAGGGTTGGATCGTTTGGTGCTGGCGCTGGAGCTCAGCACGGCAGAGGCCAGTCCCAGGTCTCCAGGCATCAGGGTTACAGCCCGAGTCTCAAGGCGGGCGGCGGGGGACAGTGGGCGGCCAGACAGGTGAGCTCTTCACTGGCTGTGGCCTGATAGTTGGGGTTCGGTGCCTTTGCCCTAAATGAGGCCTGATGTCCCCTCAGAGGGGCTGTGTCTGTGTCTTGAGTGTGCTTGTGTGTGGGTGAGGGAGAAATCATTTTGCTTTTCCTTTGGGTTCAGAACTGATGGAGAAAAGCAGAAGTACCAGGTGGGCTCCTGATGGGGCCAGCAGACTTAAGGACAGACCAGCCCAAGTGCAGGAGCCCTGGCCCTTCTGGGAAGGTTCCTGGCTCCCCATTCCACTCTGACCTGTTGCTCCACATGCAACAAGTATCGGTCACTCTCCTGCCAGGGTCAGCCTGGAAGTCAGTGGGATGACCTCTCAGGCTGCAGTATGCCTGAGGGTCTCCATCGAGGTCACCAAGAGTAGTAGTGGTGACATGCCTCACTGTATGTCTTTTCCCCCAGAAGGTCTATTTATTTATTTATTTTTTTAATGGTACTGGGGATTGAACCCAAGGGCACTTAATCACTGAATCACATTCCCAGCCCTTTTATTTTTTTTTTATTTTGAGACAGGGTTTCACTAAGTTCCTGAGGCTGACCTCCAACTTGTCATCTTCCTACCTCAGTCTCCTGAGCTGCTGGGATTGCAGGTGTGCTCCATGGCACCCAGCCCAGCAGGTGCCTTGGTGTATGCTGGGTCAGGTCTCCTTGCCCCTGTCCCAGGGCTTCACCCCATTTCCTAGGGGCTGGACTCCGCTGGCACCCAGGAGCCTGTGACATACCAGTGTTTGCCAGCAATTGTGCCACACACTTGAGTAGTGTTAGAGGCAAGCAGGGTTAAAGGGAGGGGGCAGTAGGAGGGCAGCCTCGTGTCCTGAATGTTCTCAGTTTCATGTAATGTTCTCCTGAATAAAGGACCCTGCATCTTTACTACACATGACTTAATATCCATGGCTGTATACAACTTTCCAATAAAATACTCACAGACAGTGGACAGCATCCTCCTGAGTTGTCCCAGTACTTTTGTCCTGTAAGGGACAGCCGTTGCTTGTAGAAAGGAGCTCTGATGGTCAGCAGCAGCCCTGAGGCCCACATGCTGAGTGTGTAAGACTGGCTGGCTGCCTGCTGCTTGGTTTGCTGTGTTCTGTGTCAGCAATGGCTGCTAGTTTCCCACAGGAAATCTTGGTGGCTGAGCACATTTGTGACCCAGGAAGTGGCAACTAAGTGCTTGGGATGCTGACTCAAGGCTGCTGTGTGCTGTGAGGTGAGTTCTGATTTTGTTGAAGCACAATTGCCAATTGAGGCTGCCTTCTCTGACTGCCCCATGGTGGACAGCTGAAGCACAGCCTTCCGGGTGTTGGGAGTCAGCCAGAGTATGGCTCTCGGTCCGGATGGATGGCAAAACCTAGGGTTGCTGGCAAAGGGAAGAAGTTGACAACTCTGTGGGCACTTTTCCCACTGAAATGGCTACATGCACTGCCCATCGTAGCATCTAGCACCCTGCAGCATGAGTATTGGCTTTGTGTTCACAAGCAGGAATGGTTGGCAGCTGTTTCTGTGGGTCGACAGTAAGGCCCCCGTACACCAAGGCTGTGATGGCTGCAGTTCTTGGACCCTGCTGTCAGGTGGTGCTCCCTGGTGCCCCTCCACAGGCACTGGGTCGAGGCTTGTGCAGGGCTGTGGGCTGTTTCTGGGACACTTTGGCAGGTCTGTGTAGGGTATCTTTCATCTCTGTGGCAGCCTGGGCCCAGAGAGAGCCAGCGGAGGGTGGCAGTGGGAATCTAGCTTATGTGCTCGGGGCTCCCAGGTACTTCCAGGAAGGTGGGAGAAGTGCTCAGAGGATCCCTGCTCTCCAGGAAGGGCTGATGTGCTGCAGTCAGCGGGCTGTGGCAGGGTATTTCCTGGAGGCTGCAGAGTGATGAAGTGCCCTCCGGGCATCCCTGTCCAAGATTGTCTGTCACCAGGACAGGGCCCTCATTCCTGCCCTACATCAGGAATTCCTGTCTTGCAGGTGCCCTGGGAAGGGACTCACTTGAGGCCTGCAGTGTGGTCTGCCTGGGTGCATGGTGCTGCCCAGACGTCTAGGCCCCTTCCCAGACTTGCTGAGTTAGACAGCAGATCCACTCTCTGCTGTTCTTAGGCTGTGCCCAGTGCCACTCGGGGCCAGGTTCTCCCCAACCCAGCCCTGAGTGGTAGCTTGTTCATGGCCCAAGGAGGACGGTTCTAGCAGGGAAGCCCAGGGATGAATCCTCTGTCAACAAGCTCCATTCTGAGGTAGACAGGCCACCTGCGAGGCCTCATGTCCCCTCGCTCTCTGTGAACAGTGGAGATGGGCAGGCTCCTCACTGGTGGTCAGGATCCCCATGCTGCCCTAAGAGTAGGGACTTCCCACATAGAGGGGAGGGAAAACCAAGAACCCCTGGGGTTCCCTTCCTTCAGGGTTATTACTGCTTCCCCATTCTTGACCTGTCTCTTCCCCACTCACTGCCCCGTGTACCTGGTGGGACCTTTTGAGATGAAGTAGTGTTTACCTTTTGGGTCACTGTAACCAAAATTCCTGACAAGAACAAGTTAGAGGAGGAAAAGTTTATTTGGGGCTCGTGGTTTCAGAGGTTCTGTCCGTAGATGGCCCACTCCATTGCTCTGGGCTTGAGGTGAGAGAGCACATCATGGGGACAGGCCCGGGTGAGAGGGAGGAAGAGACACCACTGTGGTTCCACATTAACAGGAGTTTTGGGGGGACACTTTATATCAAAACCATAATAAGTAGTGAGCCCTGAGACAAGGCACAGGGGCTCAAAGGCAGGGGGACATGACCAGCAATGACATGCTGGGCCCAGGAACGAAAGTGACAGAGGCCAGGCAGGGGTGAGGGAAAGTTGTCGGGTCTCCCTGAGAGGGTCCTAGGGTGCCAAATCCCTGTGTTTCTGAGTCCCAGAGGCCCTGTCCCTTGTCTGTCCCTGTGGTAACTATGAGAGGGTGGCAGGGGGCTTTATCAGAAGACCAGCCCAGGCAGAGGCCCTAAGCAGGGCTGTGATGCCCTGTATCACGGAGGGTGCTGCCTCTGAAGGCCTCTGGCATGGGCTGCTTCAGGGAAGGAGCCCTGGGGGCCACCATGACTGGTGCTTCTCTGTTCTCACCCCTTGGCACCCAGGGGGCAAGCAAGCGTACCAAGCCCTGTGTGCGCTCCTCCAGGTCCTCCCTTCTTGTCCAGGCAGTCCTGGGTGTCAGTGGGTGCTGGTTATTCAACTAAGCCCGTCCCACGTCCTGCCCGGCTGCGGTCCGTCTCTGGTGGGCTCATCTGAGTGATAGTCTTCCAGAATGTGGCGGTTTGCGGGCTAGGGCTGAGGGGAGTTGTTTGGCTGTTCTAAAACTACCAGGTGTGGTGGCAGGCAGATGCTGTCACAGGCTCGACTACCTGGTGGCCTTCCTGCTAGGCAGTTGTCAGCTGAGGTGTGGTCCCAAGTTTCTCCAGACATTGCCAGACACCCTCCACTTTGATCTCCCTGCCTCTGTCCATTCTCCTGAGGGAGAGGTTGGGCACAGGCCTTGTTGGCATTCATGCTTGGGGCACCCCCCCCCATGTCTTGTAAAAGGCCCAGCGACAAGTGGCCAGTGGGGCGATAGCTGGCAGGCAGACATGGCAGCTGGCCTGGGCAGGCAGGCTCAGGCTGGGAAGCTGGGTTCACAGAGGCCAGCAAGCTGCTTGGCTGCAGAATGACCACAACATCAACTCCCAGTACTTGGGTCTTTTCCTGCTCCAAGTCTTCTCTGTGCTGGGCCAGGTTCTCTGTCACAGGCCCCCTGCTGGTATAGCCTCCTGCTGGGCCTGTGGTTGCCTGTAACAGGGGTATGGGGTGTGGACTGTCTCCTCAGTTTGCCTCCCAGCTGTGATTAGGGTGACGGGTTCCTGGCAGGAGGGAGGGTGTGTGTGTATATCATGGAGGTCAGTGGGCTGGTGGGGGGTCACCGTCTCTACTTCCCCTGCCTCTGCCATGCCTGCAAGGAGGGCCCTGTGCAGAGGAGACTGGGGAAGGGTGGGGATGCCTGCCCTGGCTGAGCCTGTGCTTTCCCAGGATCTCCGTGGACAGAAGCTGAACTCGTTGCCAGGGCCCAGGGAGCAGAAGCCCAGCACAGACTGCCCCTAGCTGGTGACTCTGCAGATCAGGCAGTGGGGAGCCACTTGGTCCTGCTGCAGAAAGGTGTGACGTCCCTCCCAGATAGCTTTCACGGGGACTGGAGTGTTTCCAGCAAAAGGTCAAGGGAGCTGGGCCAGCTAGTGGAACTGGGCCCCAGGGCCAGGTGTAGCTGTGCTGCCTGATGACTTCCAGTGCTGGGATGTGGTGAGCACACAGTGTGTGGGTGAGGCAAGCGTGGCCTAGCCGGCTGGGCCCCTGGGACAGGGGTCTGCTAGTTGTCCCAGGGGCACAAGCTTCCTGGGCGCCGGAGTTTTACTCGCTGTCATGCAGTCAGTGTGGAGGCCAGCAGGGGCCAGCCAGCCAGGGATATGGCCATGAGTGGGCATGGGGGCAGCCCTTGGAGGCCCTGCCTTTGTGGGCTTGCTGCCTGGGCAAGGGAGTTGAATGGCATTGTGTGGGGCATCCTGGTGGCCCTCAGGGCAGTGAGGAGCTGCTCTGGCTGTACTCGTGGTAGCAGAGATGTGGGTGGCACCGCTGTACAGGCTGCAGAGGTGGCTAGAAAGGCAGAGCTGATTGCCACACCTGACTAGCCTGGTGGCTGCCCACCAGACACCCCCCCCCCCTGGACTCGCAGGTGCCCAAGAGCCTGGGGCTGTCTGGGCCTGAGCCATCACTAGAGCCACTGGTGCTGTGCCTTCTGGCCTTGGGCCTCAGTGCCACACCTTGGCAGGGTCCCAAGATCCCAGAGAGGGGAGGTCCCAGACCAGTGCGGTGCTCTCAGGACGTCTCAGGACGGCTCCTAGTTGGCCCTGGTTCAGGAGAGAGTGAGCTTTAATCCTCCTGTTTCTATGCCAGCCCTGGTGGTCCTGGGTGGTGGGCAGCAGGGAGAACTGCCCAACGCTGAGTTGACCAGATGATTCACGTCCCTGAGGATCTGAAGCAGGTACAGACCAAGAGCTGGACACAAGCTTTGGACTGGTGCTGGGATGGCCTGCGGGCTTCCCGCCTCTGCCTCTAGCTGCAGGCAGAGCTGCAGTGGGGGCCTCCTGTGCCCACCTGTGGCTTCCCAGGAGGCAGAGTGTTTCCAGGACTGGCTGGCCCAGCAGACTGAGTGTCAGGCTGGGGCAGGAACAGGGACCTGAAGCAGGGCCCAGTTGGAGGGTGATGTGTTCATCTCTCCCCTCGTCACTCTCGGGCCTAGGCTGCCTCTGTTCTGTGGCTGGGCAAGGCCCTCAGGCCCCATCTGGAGCTGGAGGGACATTGGCTGATCGACGCATCCCCTGCAGCTTCAGCTGCACCAGCCAGGGCAGCCCCCAGCCGCGGTTGGAAGCTGAGCAGGAGTGCTGTCCCCTACTCTGGGGGGAGCTCCTTCGCAAGCCAGGGGCCGGACACTTAAATGAGAGCGTACATGTGACTCCTGCGTGGTCCCTGTGTCCCTGTCCCCCCCACCCCCTTCACGTCCTGTCTTTTAGCTGCATTTGTATTAACAAGTCTTCCTTCAAGATTAGCTCAATACAGAATTCTCAGGCCGTAGGTCTGAAGGAACGCCTGGGACCAGCCTCGTGGTTGGCTTCCTAAGGCCGTGACTTGGCTTGTTGCTTTTGCAAACTTGCTATACGTGTAGTGCCTGTAGCGGCCTCTCTCACACTAGGCTCTTGTCCTCCAAGCTGTTTGTGAACTTTGCATTGCTATCATTCATGGTGAGGTGGGTTCGTGCTCCCTTGGGGACTAAAACCTCGCTGTAGGTCCCAGTACTCCCTGAAGGACCCCGGCAGGTGCTTCTGTAAGTGTGCCACCTTAGACCAGGCCAGACTTCTCCAGAGTAGGTCCTAATAGGGCCATGTGCCCTCACTGTGCTGTCCCCGACTTGCGGGGGCCCAGGGCTATGCCCTTCCTGTGAACGTCCTGGTGGTGCTGTGTGGGCTGGTGTCTGGTGAGCCTGCGTCCGGCCCAACTTGCTGCTTGTCTGACTTTCTCATGGGGCTGTGGGGGTTCTTTCCCTGTTCTGGATGCAAGTCATGGGGGCCGTGCTCTGCGCAGCTCACCTCGGGCCCTGCTGCCTGTGCAATTGCCAGATGGGGTCCTGTTGAACAGTAGCCCTCCACTCAGTACCTGTCTAACTAGGCTACACAAAGAAACAGTCTGTTTTCTCCCAAAGGCTGAGTTGTTTTACCTTATCAATCAACTAGCTGGGGTGTGGCTCAGGCAGAAGCCGGCCTAGCATGAGCGAGGCCCTGGGTTCCATCCCCAGCACCTAGGAACCACCAGCAACCAGCCAAAATCCTAAATAAACCAACCGACTGAAACCAGGTTACTAGCATGGGCCGCACCCTGCTCAGTCTGATTGCTGTCCCTCTTCCAGGCCAGGTTCCCCGTCCACCTTGTCTCCTGGCCTCCCCTGGTGCTGACCTGTGTACCTGTGCTCCCACCTCCCCTGGACCCAGGCCATTTGTTCCTACTCCCTGCCCCTCTGCCTCCCCCTTTTGTGTTGGTGCTTTCTGCTCCTGGCCTGCCCTCTCTCCCAGGTGGCCCTTTAGACAGGTGTCTGTGGGTAGGCTGGGCCTGGCCTCCTGACATGGCCTGAGGGTGCTCTCTGCTTACAGGTCCTGAGCAGCCCCTTGCACCATGGACCCTGACCCCCAGGCAGGTGTGCAGGTGGGCATGCGAGTGGTGCGTGGCGTGGACTGGAAGTGGGGCCAGCAGGATGGCGGCGAGGGCGGCGTGGGCACCGTGGTGGAGCTCGGGCGCCATGGCAGCCCCTCCACCCCAGACCGCACAGTTGTCGTGCAGTGGGACCAGGGCACTCGCACCAACTACCGCGCCGGCTACCAGGGTGCCCACGACCTGCTGCTCTATGACAATGCGCAGATTGGTGCGTGGCAGCACGGGTGGTGGGAGGGCCCGTGTGCCCTGGTGGGTCACTGCCGCTGACCCTACCCTGCCCCCAGGCGTCCGCCACCCCAACATCATCTGCGACTGCTGTAAGAAGCATGGGCTGCGGGGCATGCGCTGGAAGTGCCGCATTTGCTTCGACTACGACCTCTGCACCCAGTGCTACATGCACAACAAGCACGACCTCACCCACGCCTTTGAGCGCTACGAGACAGCCCACTCACGCCCGTGAGTCCCCCCCGCCAGCCTCAGGGAAGCACAGGCCCTCCTCAGCCACGTGGAGGTGTGTGGATGGCTTCTCTGTGCTGGCACCCCTTGGTGCAGCTGCAGCCTGCGTCACTGAGTGCGGCCTGTGTGTGGCCGTGCCAGCAGCAGTGGCATTGAAGCAGCGAGCATTCCCGTGGAGGTGCCAGGCCTGGCATCGTGGCCTCTGGCAGGGCAGCCCACTCTGGACCCAGCCCTGTGGCACAGCATGGGTGCTGGCTGTCCAGAGTGCTGTGCTGTAGTCAGAGGGTCTGTGCTGAGAGGGCGCTCCGCTGTGCTGGAGCAGGCACCCAGAGGCACCACCCCTGTTCCCTGATGCCAGCTGTCTCCTGGAGCCTCCCCCTGTGTGTTCCAGGGTCCAGTGGCTGTGTGCTGCTGGCCAGGCCAGGCCCCACCCACTGGGAGGGCAGGCTTATCCAGACTACACAGGAGGCTGTGCCCTGAGGGTCAGCCTGAGTCCCCTCCCAGCCAAGGGCATCTGATAGCTCCCACAGAGCCTTCCCCCTGAGTGTGGAAGGCACTGCCCTTCTGGGAAGGGCATTCATGGGCAGGAACTGGGTGCCAGGACACCCATCTGGTAGATCCCACCTGGTGTGGGAAGGAGCCTGGGGGTGGAGGAGCTAGTCTGGGCAGGGCAGGGCAGGGGCCTGACCGTAATACCTCTCTCCTGCATGGCTCAGGACTCACTCTCTTGCAGTGTTACCCTGAGTCCCCGCCAGGGTCTCCTTAGGATCCCACTAAGGGGCATCTTCCAGGGTGCAAAGGTGGTGCGAGGCCCCGACTGGGAGTGGGGCTCACAGGATGGTGAGTGGTGGCCGGAGGGAGAGATGGGAGGTGAGGCAGTTGGCTATGGCTCAGCCTTGAGGCTCAGCTTTTGGGTGGGGACACTGTCTCCCCAGGAGGGGAAGGCAAGCCAGGTCGTGTGGTGGACATCCGTGGCTGGGATGTGGAGACAGGCCGGAGTGTGGCCAGTGTGACATGGGCAGATGGGACGACCAATGTGTACCGCGTGGGCCACAAGGGCAAGGTGGACCTCAAGTGTATAGGCGAGGCAGCTGGCGGCTTCTACTACAAGGAGCACCTCCCCAGGCTGGGTATGGGACTGGCCCCACCAACACTGGCTGCCCTCCTGCCCTGGTTGGGCAGGGGCTAGCCTGTGATGTCCTGGGTGGGGGTGCTGCCTGAGGCCTGGCCTGCCAACCCCCCCCCCCAGGCAAGCCAGCAGAGCTGCAACGCAGGGTGAGTGCCGACGGCCAGCCCTTCCAGCGTGGGGACAAGGTCAAGTGTCTGTTGGACATAGACGTCCTGAGGGACATGGAGGAAGGCCATGGCGGCTGGAACCCCAGGATGGCAGAGGTGAGCTGCCTCCCCACTGAGCCCTGTGTGCCCTCCCCTCCCAAGCCCTCTGGACCCCCAGCCATAGTCTCTGCGACCTGCCACAGTTTATCGGACAGACGGGCACCGTGCACCGCATCACCGACCGTGGGGACGTGCGTGTGCAGTTCAACCACGAGACCCGCTGGACGTTCCACCCCGGGGCTCTCACCAAGGTGCCTAGGGGCTAGGCTGAGCCTCATCCATTCACTTCTGTAACCCTTCCATGTACTTAGGCAGCCCTGGGAGTGGGCAGGCAGGATTATGGCCCTGGTGCCCCCATGAGTCCCCAGATCTGAAAGAAGGGGCAGCCTGGTGGGTGAAGGTGGGGCCGAGGAAAAGGGGATCCAGGCATGAAGAGACCCAGAGGAGGGCCAGGCACCCTGAGGCTGCAGCAGGCAGGCCAGGGTCTGTCTGTCCTGAGGATGGAAGAAAGGTGGACACCATAGTAGGCTGGAAGTGGGGTACTGGGCTTGGTTTCTAAGATGCTACCTGTGAGTGGGAGGTGGATGCTGGGCCCAGGTTGGTGGGCACTAGCAGCGTGGACAAGGTGGACACAGTGAGCTGCCTGGAAAGCAGGACTTGGGGGATGGAGGACAGAGGGAGCAGGTGTTGGGGCGGGCATTCAGAGCATTCAGCTCTGAACTTGGAGAGCTTTGAGGGGGCACTGCAGAGCAGCGCAAGCCCTTGTGCTCCTCGCAGGGGAGGGGGAGGGGCGCCACCCTTGGCTCCGCCCCTACGTCCGGGGCCCCGCCCCACGCCGCTGCCAAGCTGCCGGCAGTCGGGTCGATGTACAGGCCGCGTGGGGCTTCACACCTCCCCAGAGCCGGCTTTTGTCTGATCGGGATGCCGCTGCCCAGCTGCTTCCCCAGCTGTCGCCCCGATCCTCTGGGGCTGGGCCACCTGGGGCTGCTTTGGTCACCTATGGTCCTTGTCCACCCAGACCCTTAGGTTGTGCTTGGCGCAGGAACTGGGGTCAGGTTCATGCCTGCCTGACCTGTGGAGCTTGTTGGGGGTACCCTCCCCCACCATGGGCGGCCACATGTGGCCGGGGGGAGTCCCTTACCTGCTTCTCTGTCACCCAGCACAACTCCTTCTGGGTGGGCGATGTGGTTCGTGTCATCGATGACCTGGACACTGTGAAGCGACTGCAGGCTGGGCATGGCGAGTGGACAGATGACATGGCCCCTGTGAGTCCCCTTGCCCGTGTTGTGACCTCCCCTGCTAAGACTTCCTGTGACCCTACATTTCTCCCTCAGGCCCTGGGCCGCATTGGGAAAGTGGTAAAGGTATTTGGAGATGGGAACCTGCGTGTGGCAGTCGGTGGGCAGCGGTGGACCTTCAGTCCTTCCTGCCTGGTGGCTTACCGACCAGAGGAGGACACCAATCTGGACGTGGCTGAGCGTGCCCGGGAGAACAAAAGTGTGCACCAGCCCTGGCAGCCTGGGGGAGGCAGGGTGGCCCTTGGCCATCACTTACCCAGTTTTGCCCCCAGGTTCACTGAGTGTGGCCCTGGACAAGCTGCGGGCTCAGAAGAGTGATCCAGAGCACCCAGGGAGGCTGGTGGTGGAGGCAGCGCTGGGCAATGTGGCCCGGGCTCTTGACCTGCTGCGGAGGCACCCAGAACAGGCAGGCCCCTTCCCTGACCTCCTCCCAGTGGCCAGCAGGAAGGCCAGAAGGTGGCAGGTCCTGAACTCACTTGCTCGCTCTCCTGACAGGTGGACACCAAGAACCAGGGCAGGACTGCCCTGCAGGTGGCTTCGTACCTGGGCCAGGTGGAGCTCGTGCGACTGCTGCTGCAGGCAAGGGCAGGCGTGGACCTGCTGGATGATGAGGGCCACACTGCACTGCACTATGCAGCCCTGGGGTGAGGCTGGGTAGGCTGCTGGGGTCCAGAGGGGCCGCGCCTGTGGGTCCAGCCAGCACAGTGCTCCCTCCTACTCCCTCTCCCACCAGGAACCAGCCTGAGGCTGCCCGGATGCTCCTGAGTGCAGGGTGTGGGGCAGATGCCCTCAATGGTGCCCGGAGCACAGCGCTGCACTTGGCTGTGCAGAGGGGCTTCCTGGAGGTGGTGAGGATCCTATGTGAGCGCGGCTGTGATGTCAACCTTCCTGTGAGTGTTGGTCCCCAGGTGCCCTTGACCCTAACCAACCCTGGATTAAGGAGGCAGCCTGACTCCAGGGACAGTCACCTCTCAGTGACCACTGGCCCCTACTGGCAGGATGCCCATGCCAATACGCCTCTGCACTCTGCCATCTCCGCGGGGGCCGGCGCCAATGGCATCGTGGAGGTCCTCACCGAGGTTCCGGGCATCAACGTTGCTGCTGCTGACAGCCAGGGCTTCACACTCTTGCACCATGCGTCCCTCAAGGGCCACGCGCTGTGAGTGTGGGGTGGGCACCAGTGGCTGCCAGGCTTTGCCCTGCCACCTGGCCACCCCGGGAACAGCCCAAGGCTGGGGATGATCTCCCTGCTCTCACAGAGCCGTCAGGAGGATTCTGGCACGGGCCCGGCAATTGGTGGACGCCAAGAAGGAGGACGGCTTTACCGCGCTGCATCTGGCTGCCCTCAACAACCACCGTGAGGTGGCTCAGATCCTCATCCAAGAAGTGCGTGCAGGGTCCCCCCCCACACACACACACTGGAAGGCAGGGGCCCAAGGGGGTCTCTGGGCTGAGTTTGCCCCCCACTCCCCAGGGCCGCTGTGATGTGAACGTGCGCAACCGGAAGCTCCAGTCCCCATTGCACCTGGCCGTGCAGCAGGCCCATGTGGGGCTGGTGCCCCTGCTGGTGGATGCTGGTTGCAGTGTTGACACCGAGGATGAGGAGGGGGACACGGCCCTGCATGTGGCGCTGCAGCGCCATCAGCTGCTCCCCCTGGTGGCTGACAGGGCTGGGGGGGACCCAGGGCCCTTGCAGCTGCTGTCCAGGGTGAGGAAGTGAGGAGTGGGTGCTGGAGAGGTGGGCCCACCTTCTATCTCTGGTGACGGGCCAGGGAGTCAGGCTCTGGGGAAGGGGGCAACTTGGGGTGGGGGCATGATTTAGAGAAGCCATTCTGTGCAACCCTTGTGGGGATTCTGCACTGCTGGCCATCATGGGGAGGGGATGGTGTGGTAGCCCGGGTGGCATCTTAGAACTTATTCTTTAGGTTGCCTAGCAAGGGCACCTCTCTTGCCTGCCCTCTACACTGTTCCTGGAGCTGACAGCTTCATGCAGGAAGAGGGTACCCTTGGCTTCCCCCCCCCCCGAGGATAGGGGTGCCCCTTGCACAGGCTGCTGGGGCTGCCTGGCGCCCCAGAGGCTTCCCTCAGGCCTGCGCCAGCGCCCATCCTCAACAACATCTGTCCTGCTGCCCAGCTACAGGCCTCAGGCCTCCCAGGCAGCTCGGAGCTGACGGTGGGTGCTGCGGTGGCATGCTTTCTGGCACTGGAGGGTGCTGATGTGACCTATTCCAACCATCGTGGCCGAAGCCCTCTGGACCTGGCCACAGAGAGCCGTGTGCTCAAAGCTCTGCAGGGCTGCGCCCAGCGCTTCCGGTAGGCCGCACCACCAGGGGGGAGCCCTCCACAGCCAGGGGCCTTTTCAAGCCCCCTCCTCCAACTGCAGGGAGCGACAGGCAGGCGGCGGCGGGAGCGCGGTCCCGGGCCCCAGGCACGTGCTCAGCACTCCCAACACGGTGACGAACCTGCACGTGGCTGCCACTTCGGGGCCCGAGGCTGCTGAGTGCCTGGTGTGCTCGGAGCTGGCGCTGCTAGTTCTGTTCTCGCCGTGCCAGCACCGCACTGTGTGCGAAGGTGAGTGGGGGCCGCCGAGGGCCGGGGCGTCTCGGGCCGCCCCGCCCCGCCCCTCCCAACCGCGCTGCTCTCTGCAGAGTGCGCGCGCCGGATGAAGAAGTGCATCAGGTGCCAGGTGGTCATCAACAAGAAGCTGCGTCCAGGTAGGTGGGTGGGGCCCTGCCGCGCGCGCGCACGCCCACCCACCCGGATTTACCCGCCTGCGGCTGACTCCTCCCCACCCGGTCCCCGGCAGACGGCTCCGAGGTGGCAAGTGCTACCCCGGCGCCTGGTCCGCCGCGGCAGCTGGTGGAGGAGCTTCAGAGTCGCTACCGGCAGATGGAGGAGCGCATCACCTGCCCGATCTGCATCGACAGCCACATCCGCCTTGTGTTCCAGTGTGGCCATGGCGCGTGCGCACCCTGCGGCGCCGCGCTCAGCGCCTGTCCCATCTGCCGCCAGCCCATCCGCGACCGCATCCAGATCTTCGTGTGAACCGCGGCCCTCTGGAGCTGCCTCGCATCCCTGTGTTTTATAAAAAGATTCTCGGACTTTGCCGCCTGCTGCCTGCCTGCCTGGGGGCACTGGGCGGGCCGTGGGGTCCTGAGCGGCACGGGCGGGTGAGCCTGGGGTGGCCCTCGCCGCCCTGCTGCTGCTCCTGGGTCGACTCTGCCCCGGGGCAGAAACACCACCGGCGCGGCACGACACTGACCCAGGCCCCGCGCTGGCCTTCTGCCAAACGGGGTGGCCCTTCCTCCCCTGGAAGGCCAAGGCCCACCTCGACCCCCCGCCCCGCCAGGAGCTTTTGGTGTCCCGGGCCTCCTGGGTGGGTGCCGAGTCTCGGGCCGGGCTCTCGTTGGTGGTCTCGGGAAGTGGAGCAGGGGCGAAGGGAACACGGTCCTGTGGAAGAGGCAGGGCGCCTGCCGAGGGAGGCCGGTTTGTTGGAGCAGATATGTAGCCACGAAGAGGGGAGTCCTGCATGCAGCGCTTTCCAAGAACCACCCGCACCGCTCAGCCCGGCCGCCCGCCAGCTGTTTGGCGCTGTCCCCGCTGGCCAGAACGCCGCTGTCACCCTGGGCCCGAAGCCGGCATGGAGGATGGGGAGGGACAGGACGTTGACCATATCTGGCCCGGAGCAGACAGCTCCTCGACCTCACCCCCAACTCCCAGCCCCTTACCCCCAGCTGCCCCGGCGTCCCCCAGGATCCCGCCTTCCCGCCAGCATTGCCTTCGGCCGCCCCGTCGAGCCTTCCAGGCTGAGCACCGCTCCCCACCCCCAGCCAGGGCCGTTCCAGACCTCCACGCCCGGCGTCTGGCCTGGCTTCCCGGCTTCCTGGCTCCAAGAACCCCCTCCCCGCGGCCTGGCGGGGGATTCCCGGCCCTGCACCCTCCCCACCTCCAGCCAGCCTCCTCGGGGGTCCCTCCCGGCCCAAGGCCCGCCCCTCCGCCAGCCCCTTCCCGGGTTTTCGCGGGACCCTCGAAGCTCCCTACGCCTTGCCCTCTGCGGGCCCTCGCCGCCTGCCCCTTCAGCCGCCCGATACTCACTGCCACGTCCCCTTGCTCTGCGTCCCCTCCCCTCTCGCGGGGACGCTTTTTGAGCTGGCTACAGGGTCACGATGCGCTTCGCTCCCGGGTCTCACTGGGGGTTCACGGGGTTGGGGTGGAACTCCACTTGGGGGAAAAGCCAACCCGTCATGAAGTCTCACCGGCATGGGGCCCCCGACTGACGCCACTTTAAGCGCGAGCCCAGGGGCCTATCCCACTCCAAGCGACCCCACCCAGCAGGCCGTGTCTGGGCCACCGCCACCGGCCACAGGTCCTGAGTCCCGGAAGCCCCCGGGGGCGCCCGTTGCCGCTCCCCGACAGGCCAGCTGGTTCCCCTCATGGGCGCCGCGCCCCCCCACCCCCCCACTGGGCTGTAACCCGAGCCGCCCGCCGTCGCCTCCCCTCCCCGCTCCTCGGCGGCTCCATGGCCCAGGTCCCCGCGCCGCGCTGCCCCAGCGGCCCCGAGCCCGACAGCGAGTCTGCCATGGGCCGCGGGGCCTGCGTCCCCCCGAAGGTGTCAGGGGCCGTCCAGGACCGCCGGCTCGGGGCCGTGCTGGGCGGGCTGTGCCTGCTCCCCGCGCTCCTGCTGCTGGCCCGGCTGGGGGCCCCTGCGGCGCAGGCCTGGAGCGCAGCGCAGGTGAGCTGGGTGGAAGGCAGGTGCGCGAGTCGGTCCGGTCTGCGGCCCCGCGGTGCCCCCTGGGGTGGGGGTCTGTGGATGCGGATGTGAGTCCCTAGGTCTGAGCGTGACCGGAGGTGGGAGGCTGCATCTGTCTCCGGCTCCGCCCACTCCCACCGGCTCTCAGTAACCTTTTTCTCTCGCTCAGGCAGAAAACTTAAAATGGGGGGGGGGGGGCTGTCCAAACCCTCCCTCACCCCATTGCTCTTCCACCCCCCCTTTCCACAGTCCCTTTTCCGTACCAACTCTGGGGTGTGGGGACTGTCCCTACGACTTCCCCATGCCCACTTTCTTCCCGTGAAGAGAGAGGCCTATACGCTGGATGCACCAGGGGTCCCTACAGCCCAGGTCCCCAGCCCATCTTCCCCGCTCGTGCCCCGAAAACGCCGCTACACGTTGACCCCGGCCAGGCTGCGCTGGGACCACTTCAACCTCACCTACAGGTGCGACCTGGCCCTAGGGTGGGGGCTCGGCCACAGCCTAGCCCCTGTCCCTGACCTTGACCCTCACCCCAGGATCCTCTCCTTCCCTCGGAATCTGCTGAGCCCCCGTGAGACTCGCCGGGGCCTGGCTGCTGCTTTCCGGATGTGGAGCGACGTTTCCCCCTTCAGTTTCCGTGAGGTGGCCCCTGAGCAGCCCAGCGACCTGCGGATAGGTGGGCGCTGTGCCCCTGCCCCTGCCCAGCCCAGTGGGCTCTATCTCAGCCCTCCCCTCTCCACAGGCTTCTACCCAGCCAACCACACGGACTGCCTGGTCTCTGCTCTGCACCACTGCTTTGACGGTCCCACGGGCGAGCTGGCCCACGCCTTCTTCCCACCGCACGGTGGCATCCACTTTGACGACAGCGAGCACTGGGTCCTGGGCCCCACACGCTACAGCTGGAAGAAAGGTGCCCCGCCTCCCATGGGTGCACTGTCTGCACCAGGGTGGCTGTGTGGAGAGGGCTTGGGGGCAGAGCAGGGGTTCCTGGGGTGTGGAGGGTCCTGTTCTTTGGGGTTAAGCAGGCAAGGGAAGGGAGGTTGTGGGGCTGCTGCTGGTTCCGGCAGCCCTGAGACTGCCTCCCCCATTGCTGTTGGAGGGGAGCTGGGGCTGCATTCCTGGGGACCGAGCTCACCGCCCAGGCAGAACATTCTTATCTTTCCTTGGCTGTGGCCAAGGGTGGCTCCACACCACACTCCAGCAGATGTGCTGGGCCTAGGGGTCAGGCCTGAGGGCTGCAGGGCCAGGCTGGGGCTCCAGGGAGCTAACTCACAGGGTCAGCAGGTGTGTGGCTCACAGACCTGGTGCACGTGGCAGCCCACGAGATCGGCCATGCACTGGGCCTGATGCACTCCCAGCACAGCCGGGCACTCATGCATCTCAACGCCACGCTGCGTGGCTGGAAGGCACTGTCTCAGGACGAGCTGTGGGGGCTGCACCGGCTCTACGGTGAGTGTCTTGGAGAAGGTGGTGTGGAGGGGTGGGCAGGCTTGAGGTGGGCCCTGAACCAGGCTGCCCTTCCCTCAGGCTGCCTGGACCGGCTGTTTGTGTGTGCGTCCTGGGCACGGAAGGGCTTTTGTGACACCCGCAGGAGGCTCATGAAGAGGCTGTGCCCCAGCAGCTGCGACTTCTGCTATGGTGACGGCTGGGGCAGGGGCTGGGGCAGGGTCACATGCCTGGGTCTTCCAGTTGTGGTCCCAGTCTGGGGAGGGGCACACTGATGTGACACCTTCCCCTGCCATGTGCAGAGTTTCCCTTCCCCACGGTGGCCACCACCCCATCACCCCCCAGGACCAAAACCAGGCTGGTGCCAGAGGGCAGAAATGTGACCTTCCGATGTGGTCAGAAGATCCTCCACAAGAAAGGCAAAGTGTAGTAAGTGATGACTGCTAGCCAGGCCCATCCTGGGGGGAATCTGTCTAGGGTCCAAGTTGTAGGGGGTGGAGCTGCCCAGGGTCCTACAGGATGAGGGGGGATGTCCTGGGGGCTCAGGCTGCCTTCAGGGGCACAGGGCAGGTATGCAGGACCCTCCTCCCACAGCTGGTACAAGGACCAGGAGCCCCTCGAATTCTCCTACCCTGGTTACCTGGCCCTGGGTGAGGCTCGCCTGAGCATCATCGCCAACGCTGTCAACGAGGGCACGTACACGTGTGTGGTCCGCCGGCACCAGCACGTGCTCACCACCTACTCCTGGCGTGTCCGAGTGAGGAGCTAAGCTCGTCTCCTGGGCCACAGAGGCCTGACAGATAAAGCTCTGTGTTTGATGTGTCTGTGCCATTTCTTGGGTGGGTGGCCCTCATCTGGCCTATCACTGGGATGTGGGGATTCTGAGGGGCACAGACTCTAAGAATAAGGATATGACCTTCAAGATGAGAACAGCCTTGCCAAGACAGCCTCAGGAACACAGCGGGGCAAACTAAGGCCCCAGTGCCCACAATATCACCTGGGGTGGGTGCTGAGGACCAGTTTCGAGGGTGGTACAAGCCCAAGGCAAGTGGTGGGCATCTGCTGCTGCACAAGGCTAACACTCCTTGATTAGATCAGGAGCAGAACACCAACCCAACAGGAAGGACCAGCCCACATGGGGTCCCTTTTGATCCAGTCATCCCCAAGCCCAGGTAGCCAGAAGCCCTCCTCCTGGGTGCACCCAGGGGACGCAGTTTGGGGCCAGCTGGCTGCAAGGCCACCCCAGAGCGCCCCTCAAGCCTAACTGCTGGATCGCAACAGGAAGGCATGTGCATGAAGCACGCTGTGGCTGAGGCTGCCCCACGCCCAGGGCTGAGGACGGGACCTAAACCTGTGGACAGGGCTAGTCTGAAAGCCTTGCTTGTCTACGCAGACAGGCCTCCAGCCCCAAGATGGACAAGCAGTGAACCCCGAGCTGCTCTAGTCCAAGCTGGCTCATGGGGAGGGGTGTCCATTCACACTGGCATCTGTAGACATGCGCCCTTCCCCACTGGGCACGTCAACACAGCTGAAAGCAGTCAGCCTTTCCTTCCACAGCAAGGAAAATGCAATTTAATTCTACAAATGTACAAATCAAAATAATATAAAAATCACCACGTGGAAGCCAAGTGAGAGGAGGCGCGCCCAGCCTGGGGTCAGCCCTGGCTGAGGTCTGGGTCCTCACCACCAGCCAGGCTGCTGAGCTTCAGAACTTGAGGCTGAAGCCAGGGCCTGCAGCCGAAGCCCCCTGGTTGGTGGTGGTGAGGTGGAAGCCTGTCTCCTTCAGGTCATCGTCCCCCTGCAAAGTGAGGTGGATACTGTGAGGGCTGTGACCCACACAGCCCAGCCCCCTGGGGACCCTGTGGGCTTTGCCCCTCACCAGCTGGCTGTAGCCCAGGCCACCCTCAGGGGGCCGGGGGCTCGTGCCCCGCTTCACCCTCTGCTGCTCGCTCTTGGCAGGCCATGTGGGGAACATCGAGGGGTCAATGGGGAGAGGGGTCTCGCGGAAATATTCGTGCTTGAGGCCATCTTCGGCATTGATCCTCCTCCCGGGAAAGTAGGTCAAGAACCTGGAAGAAACAGCTTTGGGGCACTGGGCACCATGTGGGAGGGGGTGCAGTGTGCATGGTTGCCTCAGGGCCCAGAGCCCAGCCTGTGTTGACCAGGTGGGTGCTGTGGGCACACAGGGGTGGGAGGCCAAGGGGGTACCCGCCACCTAGAGCCTCCAGTGTACCCTGAAGGCCTGGGTGTGCAGGATCAGGGTGTGAGTCACTAGGGCAGCTGTGGAAGGGTGTAAGCAGCTCAGGGCTGGTGCTCCTGCAGCTGCAGACCAGTCATCTCTGGGACTCACTTGTTCATGAGGTCGAAGCCCTGGTCTGAGAGCAAGGCCCCAAAGCGCTTGCGAAGGTTGTTGTAGGGATGTTCACTGAAGGTCATCTTCTTGACAGCTGGGAGGTCATTGTAGCCAGGCCAGATCTTCTCACTAGGTGTCCCCAGGTCCTGGAAGACAGGGATGCCTGAGCTGAACTGCCCTGCCCTGCCAGGAAAGATCCTGCCCACTGGCCTATGGCACTGATACCTGAGTCATGGTTCTCAGTGAGGACAGGTCACTGAGAGGCCACACTGTGGCCTCGGGACTGCAGCCCAAACCCATCCTGCACACACCCTGCTGCTGTTCCTCACAGTGCCAGTTGACCAGAAGGGCCAACATCCCCAGCACGGCGTGGTCCCCATACCCACCTTAAACACCTTGTTGATCTGATCAATTTCCGACTTCCCAGGGAACAGGGGCTTCTGTGTTAGCAGCTCTCCGAAGATGCAGCCCACTGACCACATGTCAACAGCTGTGGAGTATTCCTAGGAGTCCAGAGGACACGGTTCAGGCCCCTGGGCCAGTGTCCCTGGAGTCCACCTTGAGGCTAAGGAGGGTCTCAGACCTGATATTCACCTTGGCGCCAAGCAGCAGCTCTGGGGCCCGGTACCACAGGGTCACCACGACCGGGGTGTAGGCTTTCAGGGGCGACCCATACTCCCGAGCCAGGCCAAAGTCACCCACCTGAAGAAACAGAGGGCAAGCTGTGAGGTGTGGCGGGGACAGGACCCCTGGGAGGGGCTGCCGGGGCCCACCTTGAGGATGCCGGCGTGGCTTAGCAGCAGGTTGGACGTCTTGAGGTCCCGGTGCAGGATCCAGTTGTCATGCAAATGCTTCACCCCACGCAGCAGCTGGATCATCAGGGTCTTTACCTCCCCTGGCAAGTGACAGGGTCACACTCATGGCCCACCCACCGAGAGCCCCCCAGAGGCCCAGGGCCCTCAAGGGTTATCTATGCCCTCAGTAGCAACCAGAGACTTCTGGGAGATGGTTATCTGAGAATGCTTCCAGCCCAGGGTGGCCCTTGTGCCTACTGGTCACTGCACACCACAGAGTGTCACCACGGTCACTATAAGGACACTGCTCCTGCCTTTGCTCTGACAGCCCCTTTGATGTGGCAGAGGGCAGCGTGTCTGAACTGCAGCTCAGGGCTGAGCAAGCAGGCGCCCTCCTCTGTGCCCATGGTGTCACCTGGCAGGTGTTACCTGGCAGGAACGGCTGCTTCATGGTCTCCATGAGGCTCTTGAGGTCATGCTCCACGTAGTTCATGACAATATAGATCTTGTCCATGTTGCTGCCCACCACGATCTCCTGGGGGACGAGTGTCTGTGAGTACTGGCATGTCCTCCAGCCCACCCTTGTGGCCACTGGCTCTCCCAGGCCTCCTGCCCAGAGAGGGTGTGCCAAGGATGGGGGCCAAGCTCACCCTAACAGTGACGATGTTGGGGTGCTGGGCTTTGAGGATGGTATTGATCTCCCTCAGAGATGTGATTGGGAAGCCTTCCTTTTCCTTCTCCATCTTCAACCGCTTCAGAGCCACAATTTCATCTGAAAAGAAAGCAAGCCACGGATAGACAGGCTAAGAAAACACACAAATAGGTTAAACATCTCCGGTGTGTTTAGTCAGGACTTAATTTGTTTAAGAAGCATTTGTTATTTCACAGTAGGTGCTCCTGTTCCGGCTGTGATCCCAGCTGCTTGGAAGGCTGGGGCAGGAGGATCTGAGGATCTTAGGTTCAAGTTCAAGGCCAGCCTCAGCAACTTAGCAAGACGCCATCTCAAAAAATAAAAAGGAGGGGCTGGGGTTGTGGCTCTGGGGTAGAGAGCTCGTCTCCCACGTGAGGCACTGGGTTTGATCCTCAGCACCACATATGAATAAATAAATAAACAAACAAACAAATAAATAAATAAATAAAGGTATCCTGTCCCTCTACAGCTAAATATATATTTTTAAAAAATAAATTAAGGGGCTGAGGTTGTGGCTCAGTGGTAGAGCGCTTGCCTAGAATGTGTGAGGCACTGGGTTTGATTCTCAGCACCACATATAAATAAATAAAGGTCCATCAACAACTAATAGAAATATTAAAATAAATAAATAAATAAAATAAAATAAAATAAAAAGGACTGGGGATGTAATTTGGTGGTGCAGCAATTGCCTAGCATGCAAGATGACCTGAAGTAAATATCTAGGACTGCAAAATAAATAAGAGTGTGCTGCCTGCTGTCACAGCCAGCAGTGAGCCAAGTCAGGCTGACTCTGGTTTCTAGAGGCACCAAGGGGCTCAAGATAAGACCTGGTGTTTGCAAGGCACAGGGACAGGGACAGAGAGAGGGTAAGATCTAATCCAAAGATCCTGGGGCCATGCAGAGATTAACCCACATTCAGCAAACATGGGCTGAAGCTATGTGGACACGGTTGAGGTCAGAGGGTACAGAACCAGTTGCCTAGGCCTCTGCTGATGTATGCTGCTCAACACCCCTCCCTCCCAGAGAGGGCCCTCCATGGAAAGTGGTGTCTGTCACCAGGACTTCTAAGGCTGAGCCTGCATCACTGACTGGACCTCCTCAGGAGAGACCCCTGCCTGTGCTAGAATGGGCTAGGGATTGGCTACCCAGGCCCTGCTGGCCCCACTGGGGACACTTAGGACTCTCCCCACCTGTTTTCTTGTCCTTGGCTCTGTAGACCACACCATAGGTACCTTCTTCAATCCTGTTGAGACACTGGAACTCTTCCACACTCCGGCAGCCCTGGAGGGAAGCACAGAGCGAGGGCTGAGCAGCCACACTGGCCTGAGGTCTCACCCACAACCACATCACTCCGTGCACAGGGCAGGTACACAGAAGACCCCACAAACATCCTCAGGAGGCTGGTGCATGTAGATGCGTGCCTATGTGTAAGTGACCCAGGACCAGAAGTACTCTGTTCTCTTTTCTTTGGAACTACCTAGTATGTGAATGTGAAACAAGGGCAGCACCAGCCAGGGCCACCGGGCGTCTCCTACGTAAAGCACCCCTCCCGCAGATGACACCTGGGGAGAGCACAGCCCGCCTGCCATGTGCGGCTGCCCTCCTCCAAGGGGTGGGGGCCACGCTCTGCAGCACATGGCAGGCTCTCACTGGAGAAAGGACCAGGGGGCCAGCAACGGGCCTGCTGGATCCGTCAGACAGTATCTTTCCTACGATGGCACTAATGTCAGGGGCCTGTGGTGGTGCTCCAGGGCCCTGGGGACCACCAAGCCCTCTCCTCTTCCCCAAGGCAGCCTCACTAGCTGCTGTTTCCCTGAAGAGAAGTCACCACCTTGCGTACCTGTGCTGACACACTCTCAGCATGGGCGGGTGTTGAGGAGGCCTTGGTGCCCCTCCCAACCCACCTATCCAGGGTCAAAGCAAAGGCAAAAATGAAAGCAAGCATCTCCTGGCACCCAGGACACCTGCTCAGTACTGCCG